GTTTGAAGCAGTGGGAGCGTATCGAGCATCTCCTGCCAAATACCACGTCTCACATAACCAGATCCTTCACCAGATCCTACATTCTATTCCAACAGTGAGAGAGCAACCTCCTTGATGTAATTATCAAGGGGAGTGAGAGTTATGTTGACACATGCTGTTCTTTGAATTTGTTCTAGTTTGCGGATAGCTGTCAACTTATACAACTGCACTGTATGTTAGCATAGGTCTTATGATGACCATGTAAGTTCATGCGACAACTCTGGGGGAGAAACTTCAGGTGCGCCCCACGGTTTGGCGGCATTGTTTATAAGCAATATATGCTCTTTTGTCTGTTTTCTAAATGTGAGTTCCATGTTAACTTGCTGTCAAAGGTGAGAAATAGGTACTTCACCTCTGTTGCATAGTTTAGTTTGTGTATAGGAGTCTTGGAAGTTTTAATTAAATTTTCATCCTTTTCCTTGTGAAAAGGACCATGTCGGTAATATGGATATTAAATTAGGATACATTCGACTTCCCTTATATTTCATAAATCCCTTTGGCAAACTTACGGAAGAAGTATTTTACGATAACGATAATAGGGTAATTCGGTAAATATTTTGAACTGCACTTCCGTAGATATTAAATAATACCGAACGCAATTAGCTTATTACGGTATTGGTGCTTGCCCGATCTCTCTATACAGAGTTTTAGCAAACGCTAACGTTACGTTAAACTTAGATTGTGACATTTTTTATACACATTCAAAGGAATAGATTAGAGTATATTGCTAAGGTAACGTAAGCGGATGGTTACCGAAAGTTTGCTAAAACTCTCTAATGACATTTCGGGGAAAAGTTTAACTACATTTTTTAAATTTATGACGAGACCGTTTAAAAAATTTAAGTAAAGACGTCTCAAAGACTTTATATCATACTGAAGAAATCAATACAATCTTAATTATTGTCAAACAATAAATAAATGTCAAAGGGTTTACTATAAATAAACGATCTCTGAATTATGTTTTAGCACAATGCACTCATTAAAACCTTAGCTTTATGAAGAAAGAATAAAAAAGAAGGCCAGATCAGCTTCTACAATTTTAAAAGATAAAAATCAAAGTTAATCATTTGGCAATTTTTATCCAACTTCATTTTATACTAAATTCGCTTTTAATATATGAAGGGGATACGACCGCAATTTTGCGTGGGAGCCTCCTTCTCTATCTGTCTCTCTCTTTCTCTCAAATTTTGTAGCACGCGCCTCACAAATACGGTGTTAAAGGTTCTCAAACTTTACTCCTGCTAAAACTTAATCGACACTGAGTTGTTTTAACGATACCACCAACTGTTGCCAACGTTCAAGAACTTGCTAACTTGTTAATGGTAACATTTCTTACAGGCATGTTTCGCGATATTAAGAAAGCAAATGTTGCGAAGAATGGGTATGAGGGGGGAGGTTGTTTCGTTTAAATAACGTCTCCAAACTTCTAATTAAGGAATGTTTTGCTTTTTAATATTACTATTTTTTTTTTAATAGGTTTAATTAAACAGAATGAAATATCGAAATTTTCCTTGCCAAATGAAAACCAAAGGACTGTACGTCATCAAAAACATACCTAAAATGTTGCCAAGAACAATTGTAATCAATATTATATTTCGTCACTGTAAAATATGAAAAATTTTAATTATTTTTTATAATTTAAGCACTACTTATGTATGTGTTTCGGAAAAAACATTTTCTCATCATTTGGTGCAGTTAATATTTATAAAAATATGGGGACGAATACAAAATTTTCTGTTTCACATGCTGGGCTCAAATTATAAAAAGTAAAAACCATTTGATTGATTAAAACAAGGAACTTTATATATATATATATATATATATATATATATATATATATATATATATATATATATATATATATATATATATATATATATATGAAAAATATGTTAACAGAGTTGTGGGATTCAAGTTAAACGAAAGTCTACCTTCTGGATAATTTTATTAGGAACTTGATACAATTGAAGTTTTAATATATATTGACATGAAAACAAAACATCTGAAAAATATCGTATGCAGAGTGCTATCTTTGAAATTAATATTTAACAATAATAGCTATTGTTAACAAAATATTCCTGCCAAAAGAAACAAAGAGGATTGTATTTCAACAGAAACATTTAAATTGGTAAAAAACAAATGCATAGCGGAAATTATTTGTTTAGAAATAAAAACCGAATAAAATCAATCAGGTATATTTTAAAAAATCAAACCATTATCTTTTTATACTGAATATTCAAGAGTTTCATAAAAGCCCGTATTTGTATAAATTATTTCGTCTTCAAATTAAAACGAAAATATTGCTTTTTGCCTTTTTAATTTTCCATTTACTCAATTGAATATTCATTTCTCAATTTAAATGTAAAAACTTCCTTAATCCTATTTTATTTAATATATTATATAGGTATGCAAAATTCGAATTAGTTCAGATGAATAATGTAAATTGTAAATATACATACAATTTAATATTATAATTTGAAATGCAGAAATATTTTCAGTATCTGGATACATTAATGTCATAATAGAGTCGGTTGTCATTTAATCAAATTTAAAGTTTAATCATTTTATTTACATAATTAGTAATTTGCATAAATTGTTTATGGCGCGATCAGTAGGATTTCATTTCAGGTCGCTTACTGATTACAAATTTAATCAAACTTTTAATTACTTTGATTTAAATTTTTTTCCAACAAGATGGGTTCAACAGCACATTATGATAGAATAATAAGCAGGAACATTGACATTTCATATATCAAACTGGGTCTTGCGATTTAAATATATGCGATTTTTCGTAGAGACATATATTACGTGGATACTAATATTCTCAGTGAGGTAAGTTTTTGTGATACATATGTCCCAGTCGCTATTTTTAGCATGTCATATATGTCCCGGCTCCAGGGTAAAATATGAGAAGGGAAGAATATGTTACAAGTGTTCACAGCAAAAAAAGGAAAAGCGCACTAAATACGGTGAGAAATTAAAATGATGTATAAGTCATATGCATGAACCCAAAAAGGTGACACGGTCGGTAGTTATCTTGGTACCAGGCGAAGGAAGTTTGCGCAAGATGGCATGCAAAAAATATTGAAATCCTAATTTCTACCTTTTACATAAACAGTGAAATCAAAAAAAATACTATACATAAAAATCATGTGCATATCCGCACCCATATCTAAACATCAACGTTTATTGTTGAAACATAATAAACATTTAACACTTTCCAAGTTGGAAGAAGTTATCTGCTTAACTTATAGTTAAGTCCAAATTAATAATAAGAAAAATATTAAACCAAGAAATTTTATAATTAATTATAAATCATAAAACAAAATTAAATGAAAACGCAATGCACACTTTAGACAGAGGTTATTTACTGAAACTCCCAGATTGGAAAAGGTTAATTTAATCTCTACCCTTCATGGGTCTTATGAGTCTGCTTATCTTATAGTTAAAGGTTAACTGTAGCCCTTAGTGCCCGAAGTATTTATGGTCAATATCCAGACCAAGACGCTAAGCGCTTAAATAACAAAATTTTGAAATAGTGCTTAATTAATTAAATTATGAAATATATTGGTAACACATAAGTTATTAAAGTAAAATCCACAAGAAAATTCTGCGCGCAAAAGTATAAATAATGTTGAGAATACTTTGAGAACATTCTTTTAACAGTGAATGTTTAATTTAATAAATCGCAGGCACAGTTCACATATGAAATCCTCATTATAATATAAAAGACCTGATAGTAGGGTGTTTCCATTGACAGCATCAATGTCTTTCTATCTAGATAAGTAACCATCCAAGTAATATCAGCTATAAATAAGCCAGGTAGTAAATAAATCAAGGTTCTGGTCAACCGATGTACTGTGTCCCCACGATTGAGTCTACGTTGATCTCCGGAGTGAAATATCCTCCGGGTAAACCCTTAAAATATTACAAAATATGTCAATATACATTGACTAAAAATTCCCTAACTATACAATTAATTTCCCAAAATGTACCTAAGCTTGAAACTATTAAGTACCAAGAGTCATAAACAGTATTATGAATTCAAGTAATTAAAATTCCGGTATACCAAGCTATAACATAAAATAAATCATCTATCAAAAGGTGTACAATATTACCAAATATATAAAAACTTACCTTTTTCGTAAAGGGTTAAACTGGTAGCCTTCCAAGTGTGAAAAACAAGCGATACAGTCCGCAGCAACCCCTATTGAAGAATCCACTTCAATATTACACACTCAAATGCCGATGGATCTCCTTATATGAAACAACGTACTAATAACTCAAAATCTATTGAAATTAATTAGTCATACTCACAATTTTTGTGTCTATAAATCCCTTTAGCAAGTGTGGATTGGGTCCGAAAAACCATGGGAATTTATCAAAAACACTAATTCCCCTAAAATATCATTTACCCGTTCTTCCACAATTAACACTAGAGTGCAATCTAGAATCCCCTTTAATAGGATAACTTGATGGTCATATAAAATAAATATTTTACTCCGAGCCAAAATTTGAGGACCTTTCTTCATCTGTCAGAAATACCTAACCAACAAATCTCGCACGATATCTACCCTTCCGCTTTGAAAAATAACAAGCTGAGTGAGTTCAGAAATTCATTCTTGTACAAATTTTTAAATTCCATGTTTATCAAACCTAAACAGAAAAATACGAAACAAATCAATAAATAATTCCACCAAGGTTATAAATAAAGTAAGCAAAAATAAAATAGCGTACATTTATAAAAGAACCTGCTTGTTTTAAATTAAATTTTCGTTTCTTCTTTTTTTTATTCCATTTATTTTTATTTAAAAACTTGTTTTGACTTCTTGTCTATGGACCATAATGTATTTTTGATCTTCTTTTCTTCTGACTGGTCTCTGTGGATACGTTCTTTTCGGTTGGTTTGGGTAATGTATACACTGTATACGAAGCCGACCGTACCTCACTAGTCTCACAATCTACTTTCTCACTTTCACTAGAACTTTTTCTTCCAGCTCCTTCAATTCTTCTACTGAGTATAATTTATTTTCTACATCCAATGAGAAACCTCTTATTCTTGCAGATAGTTGTTGGTCTTTAGCTTGTTTAAAATGACGTGTAAGAACTTTATTATTGATTCTATCTTCATACGAGGTCTCGTTGGCTATTGCTACACCAGTACCCTTCATCTTTTTAAAGTTTTTAAATAATGCTTGCTTTCCTAAAAATAAAACAAACTCCAACACGATGGGATTGACATCAGTTCCTTTTTTTTCCATTAAATATATATTATTGATATCACAACGCCCTATTTGAATTTCAAGAAGGTTGTTTAAGTTATGTAATACTTTGTTCAATAAGTCCGTTCTTTTGTCCACGACTATACCAAATATTACAATAATATTCTTGCGCATCTTTCGCTCCAAAAACTTAACTTTATTTTGAAGCACCTCTATTTTTTTGATTATTTTCTTTCAAATTTTTTGCAACACTTTCAAGTTTACTGGTAATATCTTATTTTATTATGTCAGTTTGTGTAGTATTTGCTTTATCCACAATTTTTCCGGTAAGAATAGTCAGCTTTATAGCTGTTAGTTCTTGTAGCGATTTGCCAGTGGTAGACATATTGAGATGCACATTAATTTACTGTGGTGGAATGAACAGCGAATATCTTTGTTAATTAAATCCGCGGTTTTTCTTGTAAAAACAGTTTAAAGCAATTATGGTTCGTATTGTAGCACTATTTAAGGTTTTGTTAAATATCTAACGTTGTAATTTCTCTAGAAACTTATTTGATGCACCTATATCCAGATCAACACTTCATACATCGTAATGAACATTTTCAGCCACATTCACTAAGTTTTAACCACCTTAAAACACAATTTAAGTCGTTATATTTGATTCTCTATCACCAAAGTGAGTCGAATTTTTCACTAGTAATTTGAGCGTGTTACGTTGTAATCGTCACTCCCTTTTAATAATTACAATATTTGTCTCTGTCTGGGACATTCTACGGCTCGACCAATGTTGCTCCTTCTCTAAAAATCAATAATTATTGTCAGAGGTTGTGCGCACGCTTGGCTTACCTATGGATGTGGAATACTCACGTTTCACATTCGGTCGTTTTCTGAATTCTTTTCAATTTTGCAGCGAAATAAACCGGTTGGTTTTAGTGCTTTATTTAAGTGTGTCCGAACAAACTAAGGTAACAGAATCATTTTTTTTTTGTATAATGAATGATAGAAATTAATTTTATTGTGTGTGTATATTCTGGTGAAATTATCTTTGAGTTATTTCATTTATTATTAGTGAGCTTTTCGCGTATTATAAATTCCAAAATGGCTGCCATTAATTTTATATTTTTTTTTCTCAGTTATTTAAAAAATCTTTCCATTCTTCATGTATTTTAATTTAAATACTATTGCAAATCTCTAGTATTGTTGTAAACTTGAAATGTTCAATTTAAAAATGTTTAATTTAAATAGTAAGCTTTTATGGCTGACCACATGTTTTTTTTTTTTTGAAGCAATGGAAAGATACGTTTTTTTGTTGTAACTGACACGTTTTTTCTTTCTTAAAATTAAGGAACTGGCTCTGTAACGACTAAGGAATTGGCCTTTATAACTAAGAACTGCAGAATGTCTAAAGTCATTGTAAGCTGAGTTACATCTAGAACTGCAGAATGTCTAGTCATTGTAAGCTGAGTTACATTACATCTAGAACCGCAGAATATTAGGAAGTCATCGTAGGCTAAGCTACTATTAAGACAGCGATACGGGCCAGTTCGACCGTTGAAATCCGGAAACACAAGATAAATGTCGGCCAGGACCACACACACAATTTTTGAGTCATAGTTATACTAGTCAATTTTAATTTTAAACTCATTATCAGTCAAATAACGTAAACTGTAAAATTTGTTAAAATCAATAAATTTCATTTTCTTTTTATTGTAATATCATTCATCAATTCAATTTGAAATTAAAGCCGATTAATTGTTTTGAAATTTAAGTTCTTTATTTTTCCTTACTTTCAACTGACAAGTTAATGACAAATTTACTTTTATTGTACATCTAAAGGTATGGCGCCCAAATTAATTTAATTGAATTCTTTTAAGTAAGTCTTTTTAATTAAAGACTTGAAGGTAAATTCTAAACGAATCCCACTGACCTATTTTGATCTGAGCTAGGCCTGAGGCTTGTAAGAATTCTTATTATAAGGATTTTTACAATGAGACCCAGGTAAGGGTTAGAAACTTAACGTATCATCTGGTGCAAAATATGTTTTTATAACGTAACTTTGTAAACGTAACATTTTTTATAAAACGTAACAAGCGGCTAAAAATGCACGTTACATTTCTTTGGATTTCATTCTGTCTATAATGTCTTTCCCCAATAAGAATTCCTCAATCTTTTAAACCATTCTCTACCAATTTTTCGTTTGGTATAATAGTATGACCTGATATTTTCTGCAGTCTGATATCGACTTGTGCATATCGCAAACTAATTGACCCACATCTGCTAGTACTTCAAGAGACTCCTATTTTAGTCAAAGCTTAAGCTGCTTACTTTTGCATTTTTTCCAAGAACTCATCATGTCTTAATGATTGTTTGTCTAGACACGACCAATTTCTGGGTAAAGTTTTGGTGGGTTTATTATAGGACAATATTTTTTAATATTATTTTCTCTTTAGTCCTTTGTTTCTTTCAAAAATTTTTTCCTGCGAAGTTGTATTTCCTCGTAAAGTGTCTCAGCTGCTTCTTTTTCTGAGGATTCGATCAATGGAGGTTGAAAATATAATTTCTTGCTGTTTATCTTTGTTTAACAGTTCTCCAGTAGGATCTCTTCTTTTATATCGTCAGCTACCTTGTTTTCGCACCTACGGTGAAACAGAACGTTTATACTTAAATTCGATCTATGGTGAGATCGATCAAGTATTTTTAGGAAAGTAAATACATTTAAAAGTATTACTGGAATTAAAATATTGACACTTTTCCCAATCAATCTATAGTGACTCATTGACTACTATATATTGAATACTGGTTTTCCTAAAATGACGCCCCTGCACGGATCCGCTGAAAACTTGCTGAAAAGAGAAAGAAGAAAAGAAAAATCGTTTACCGCTTTACCACTGTTTAATCCGTGAAGTTTGAGTTGTGAGCCTTTTCGTTTCCCCTAAAATCCGAAATAAAAGTATCGATTCGTGACCAGCTCTTAAATCCCGAACAACGAGTTAAAACTTCGTCGTACTTTTAATTAGCGCCGGAAAAACTCCAAGCTGACAAAAGTATTAAAATTTCAATCCCTCTTGCATAATTTTTATATCAAGCATCAGACGAACTGATAAAAGATTTGTTTGAGTTGTAAAAGTTTGACTGTTTCGGAGATGATGATGACGATGACGACGATGGGTAATATAAAATGTCCATTAAAATTCTCTGGAATTAACCGAATCCAATTAAAAATTGAGTGCTTTTTCATTTTCGTCTTTCATTGCGAATTTCCCTTCATGCTAATCGGAATTCATTTCCGATTCATTTTTACAGATACAACTGCATAAGTAAGTAGTCGTCTGACTGAAACAACATTTTTTAGAAAACAGATTCGTTTGGTATTAAAAATTTCGCAAAAAAAAACGAATGAAATAATAACTAGAAAAGTGGGAAGTGCCTTTTTGAATTATGTGCTCAGGGAATAAGGTGTGCTACAAGTATCAGCTTTGTTCAATATTTACAAGTTATTTTCTATTAGATTGTTGATTTATTTTTATATTTTTCTGACTTGAAACTAAAAATTTTGTATTTAAATCTTACTAAAAATAAAAAAAAATATATTTCTATATGCCGGACCATAATAATTCAATGGTGTTCCTAGAAATAAATGAAAGTGAAGTTTTAAATCTAGAATAGGGGAAATACAAGAGGAAACAGATATCTCTCAATGGCAATGGGTTCCTTCCAAATTAAACGTAGCTGATAAAGCCACGAAAGAAGGTGAACATTCTGATCTGGATATTCGGCTGCAAGGTCCAGAATTTCTCAAATTGTCGGAAGATCTCTGGCCTAAAGAACCTGAATTATAATGCGAAGACGTGGTATGTGTTACTTCAAAAGATTCCGATAAAATCTTTGTGTTGCCTGATCTAAATAGATTCTCCAACTAGTCTCGTTTAATTCATTCCACAGGGTGGATCTTAAAATTTTAAGATGCTCTACTTTCCCAAGTCTCCGTAAAATCTAAAAAAAACTGTAAAACATCCGGTTTCTAAGCAGAATTTCTTAATCCTTAATATAAAATTTATAAATGAAGTATCTATTTTGTGGATAAAATGTACAATTCCTTTAAAGAAGACTCTGTTCTTTTGAAAACTAGATATATTCCCAAATCTAGTCGTCTTTTTGAATTGTCCCCATTTATAGATCAATATGGAATTTTTATACTCAGTGGTAGGTTCCCAGATACAGATCTGAATTTAAGTCATAATTCTCGATTTACTATCATTCTTGACCGAAAAAACAAGTATACAGAATTGCTTACTGATTACTACCATAAACAAGCAGGGCATATTGGTATTGAAACTGGAATAAATAACCTTCGAATGAAATTCTGGATTTTACACATTCGTTCAACTGTTAAAAAATTTTTTTTTAATTGTCAGTTCTGCAAAATTAGAAACTGTAAACCTGTTACCCCGTGAGATTAGAACAAAATGTGTTTCCCTTCACATATGTCGGCAATTATCTTTTTGGACCGATGAATGTTTCTATAGGGCGTAGAACATAAAAACGCTACGGTGTTCTTTTCACCTGTCTGACCATAAGAGCGGTTCACATAGAATTAGTTACGTCTTTAGAAACTAGTTCAACCATTATAGTCATTCGTCGTTTTTGTTGCAGAAGAGGACAGCCTAAGGAAATTTAGACAGACAACGGAACCAATTTTGTAGGCTCAGAAAAAGAGTTAATGGTTTGGTTTGACTCATTGGATCACCAAAAGATCTTCGATAGTTTCAAGGAACCATATGGAAACATAACTCTACTCTAGCTCCAAACATAGCTGGCGTGCGGGAGCGAATGATAAAGTCAGTCAAGAGATCTCTAAATTTAACTCTTAATACTGTAAAACCAAAAGAAGAGGTTCTTCTAAATTTACTCCTTCAAGCTGAATATATTATAAACTCGGGTTCCCTGACCCATATTAACCCTGACGCAATTACTCCTAACCATTTTTATTAAGTCCTGGTAGTGTAAGATCATCTGGCCTTAATAATCTAGTAACGAAGAAGCAATGGATTTTCGCACAAGCTTTAGCGGATCTATATTGAAAACGTTGGGTTCAAAAATATAGACCAAACACTCATTAAGACTTCATATATAGTAGTTATAGTTTATGAAAAATCACCAAGGATCGAATGGCT